TTTTCCCTTTCACATGTGTAAGGGAACACACTGGGGCTTAGTTGTTTGTGACACAAGCTCGGCTACTGCTGTTGTCTACGATTCATATGCACATCAATATGATTATTCTGCCACTATTTTTGAAAGCAGAGAGCCGAAGCTTCGAAGGGTTTGGAGTCAAATAACTGACTCCCCTCTGCAGCATCTGAGAATAGCTGGGAAAGATTTAGTCCACGAGCAGGATGACTACTTCAGCTGCGGTGTCTTCATCTGCATCTATGCTGAACGTCTTTCTAGGGGAGAGCAGACAAAAGCAGAAGAGGCTACATCTTTTTTCCTTCAAAACGCTAGAAGAAAAATAAGTCGCTGTTTGAGAGCTTGCTTTGCTGTTTCCGGTACCGTTAATGCTGGCTCTGCGCCACTGCCTCGAATATATGACAGCCATTTACTACCAACGAGCTACACATTATTTTTCACTGAGCAAAGAGCCGAGGCGATTGCAGAAGAAATACGTGAAACCTTGACAACTGAAAACACTTCCCTCCACAATGAAGTGTCGCAAATAGCTCACCAACCAAAAATTTTCACTTTGGAAGAGACTGTGTTTGTTCAGCGCAGTATTTTCTGCGAGCTAAGTAATGTTCATGTGATGAAGACTTGCTTGGAAGAACCATTGCCATCCGGAGCTTATACAAAGAGCATTCGAACCTCTTCGTTCATATTGGTTGTTTTCTATAGAAATCTGTTGTTCGGTTCGATTTCTGCCGCGGTATTTCAACACTTCCCAAGGAGACCACGTGCGACCGTTTTCGACTTCGTTTGCACACATATAGAAGCACCTATACGAGCACATCTTTTGAAGATTGGCAAGTTGTTTGGATTTGTGGGAGCAACTCTGCGCTCAAGCAAGGATGACTGTTTCCACAAAACGGATGCCGCTGTGACGGTCAGCTTTTGCGTATCGAAATACGTCAAAGGGGTTGAGGTTTCCGGCACTGACATTACATCCGCGAATCTCGAAGAACATCGCAAGCACATGTTAACACTTTTGGATTCAATACCTTCTTCCTATGCAAGTAGAGATCTGGAAACACTAGCTGCTCAGATGTATCTTACACAGTGCATAGCTAAAACACCTGGCGTAGCCTTCATCAACACACTTCTGGAAGACAGCATATCTGACTCCTGTGCCATCGCTGGTAGACAGTTTTCGAAGCCGATGCAACTTGCCATTTTATATATCAACACCCTTGGGATCCTGTGCGGCGCAGTCGTGAAGAAGTACTACGGAGAACATGTTTGTATCGTCTTCGATTTTTCATCCATGTCTGCGTCCACGATGACAGATACGCCCCTTCAGTCTCTGACCACAATCTACGGATATGACAACTGTGACTTTGTTGTTCCATTCCACGGCACCTTTTTATACCAAAGCGAAATCCCTGCTGCAGTGAGCTACTATATCATGTGCATTCTCAAAAAATTCACGAAATCTCCCACGTTCTCCCTGGATGCTATCCGTTCACACGCTGCTTATATACATGGCCTTGTGAGTACTCAACTTACCGATGCACCTGATAATAAGCTCGTCCTGTCTACAACGTTCCCAACAGCTCTACATCTGGGTCCTATGAATGTTAAATGTCCGTATTGCTCTGCTGTTTCATTTCGAGGAGAGCCGAAGTTACTTTGCTGTAATGGCGGCGTAAACATTGTGCCCGAGCATGTGTTGCCACAAAGAAGAGATGGCATACTGGATTGGTTGTTTCTGGAGGTGCGCTCAAACGAAAAGCTCTATTATATGTTTCGTGCTCTCAACAACCTTGTAGCTTTCGCTGGTTTGAGCATAAAGATGCGCCAGTTCAACGTGGGAATCGGTCAGCTACCCTTAGTTGTTCAAGGAACAGTGGATGTGGGTATTTGTCATTTGAATCCGGATTCAGACATAGCATCGTACGCTCAACTCTATATATGTGATGACTACAAGTGTAAACGCTCCATTGATGAGACCTTGTCTGAATATAAAATGAAAATAGAACACAAGCTTGTTGAAAGGATACTTACCACGCTGCGAGAAAACAATGTAATCGCTATGGCCTATCAGTCAATGTATGAGGTCTACCTCGCTGAGGCTGAAGCTCTACGCATTCGGGATAACGATATCCTACCAAAAATTCTGATGAACCTGAAGCACAAGCGTGAGATACCCGATGTATCGTCGAATACACATAAAGGATGCTTGAACATACCACAGATCAACAACGAGGTTGCTGCAATATATGTTTGTCGCAACGGTGTCTTTCCTTCAGAAGAAGAGCTTGATAAAGGACTGCGGGTTTATAGCAGAGGAGGTCGTTCCATAGCTGCTCATCACAACAATAACATCGACGCCATGTCATACCCTCTTTATTTTCCCAAAGGTCAACAGAGTTTCGTACGAGAACGTTTGCCGAAGACACGAAAACGGCCCGCTACAGATCAAACCATTGTATCGAAGGCACGAAAGCGGCCTGCTTTAGGCGAATCTATCGACATTGACGACCCGGATCCTGTAGGAGCACGTCTCCTTTCTGATGACGAAGATGAAGATGACCAGGTGGATTCTCAGCCTTCCAAATTTCTTTCTCGTAGCGATTTCTATCGCTTTATTCTTGCTCGCCGTGGTAACCTTCTTGAGCATCGCTTTTATGGTAGTGGCAAGTTGCTGTCTCAGTTCGTCATTCACGTCTATGCAAGAATTGAAGCTGATCTCCTTTCTGCTATTGAGCGCCATACTACGGAAATAAGAAGTACCAAGGCTACATCACTGTATACTTTTTTGGACCAGCAGCTACAGGAAAAGGGATTTAAGCTTGGGAAGCTTATAAATCTGCCTCGTTATTTCGTTGGCAGTAACGGATGGTTTGACCAACTTTACCATAACGCTATGGCCGTCGCACAGCGTGTAGGCAAACCAGATCTCTTCATCACGTTTACAGGCAACCACGAATGGCCGGAGATTCGTGAAAATTTGGTGACTGAATTTGATTCTTGGATCACCGACCCTCTTCTTTGCGCGCGGGTATTCAGAAT